TTTCGGCTACAATTTGGCGCCTTGTTTCATAGAGGGACCGCGAGAAATTCCGCACAATTTTATCGGAATATTGAAAAGTAGATCCGCATTTTCTTTGAGAATATTTATCCGAATTTATGCGCTTTGAGATTCATTAAATGTTTAGTATAATTTATGATCACCTTTGTACATTGTTTAACCAGAATAAATTGATGATTGCTACGTTTTAACAACTGATTTCAAAGTATTTTATCTTTCGAAAGGTTGAGTTATCCAGAGACAATAATAAGAGACTTTCAACGGCCATTTTTCTCTTGGCTGAGCTGCTGAGGGAAATTCACGAGAAAATTCCCCTTGTTTCTGTTGATATAATAAGTGACCCAGAAAGTAGGGCCAGACATCCCATTATATTCGGTTTTGTTGGCGCATATTGTACCAAGTGTTGTAAGATTCATGAATATTTCATGAGAATTTGACAAGAGTTAGGCTGGATTTTCACCGCTTTTCTCGAGCAAGCTTCTCATTCGATATTACTTGAGAATTAAATTTAATGTGTGCAGGAATCTGTGAAATTTATTCGTCCTCTGCTTAATTATTCCTTCGATGGTTTTGGTTCATTTTTCGGTCGTTTGAAATGAAACCATGGAAAGCTCTTCTTTTGTAGTTTCTGGGACAAGACTTGGTCTCTTTTAAAAATGCTGATCAGAAAACAGGTTAAAGACGATTCATCCTTGTCTGGAATTTCCCATCTGTCCGTTTTTCTGCTGCGTTTGTAAAAAAAAACTAAAAACAATTCCACCGGAATTTCAAAAAAATCTTCTCGTCACCCTCAGTGGAAAATTTATGCTGCATAGAAAACAAAATATACACAAAAAATAACCGGGGTGAATCTGAAAAAGGTGGATTGTGATCGGAAATTCAGAAGCAGGAAGCGCCAGAAGAAGGAAAAAAAAAAAGGAATCACGCAGACAAGGAATGATTTCCTCTGAACTTAATACAGAAATGCGGACGTTGAAATCATGACAAGCAGGAGAGACAAAGGCAAAAATTCATGACACAAACCGGAAAAAAAAAGTGGTCGCTCTCTGAGATACTATAGAGAAGAGTCATGACTTGCAAAAAGCCAGTCGACAAATCCTGTCGGTCAGGAATTTTTCAAAGGTTGACCAGAATTTTTTTTTGGCAACTTTGTGTCCATCGATCTCTGCTGTACATCAAAGTGTTCAGTGATTCCAAAATTTCAAGAAAGTAGATTGATCTTTCGATTCTTAGGCTCATATCTTTCTCCTAAAGCCTATTTTTAAATATCTGAAAAATAAATTTCGAGGAACTTGGACATTTTCAGCTCAAGAATTTGTGTCTTGAAAGAGTTCATCAACTTTTTTCTCGAGCCAGCTTTGGAATTATTGACAAAACTAAAATTTAAATCCTTAATTTTGATGAATCATTGATTGATGCGAATCAAGAAAATAGATTGATCTTTCGATTCCAAGGCTCAAATCTTTCTCCTAAAGCTTATTTCTCAATTTCTGAAAAATAATTTAGAGGAACTTGGACATTTTCAGCTCAAGAATTTGTGCCTTGAAAGAGTACATAAACTGTGTTCTCGAACCTGCTTTTGAATTATTGACAAAACTAAAATTTCATTCCTGTATTTTGGCGAATCATCGATTCTTGGATATGTGAGCAATAATTATTCAACGCAGCCAAAATCGAATGTATCTCTTTTGTTCTTATCGTTCCGTGCCATGTTTTTTTTTTCATAGTACTGTACTGTACTGTACATACAATACTACAATATATGTTTAACATACAGTCCTATGTAAATTGTGTTGAAAATTAGTCATGTTTCATTTTTTTTAAATTTCTTTTCTCTGACGTAGAATCAAGTGATGCTCATGCGAGTTCGTATTTGCTAAACTTCGCAATTCGGAAGAAAAAGAAATGAAGCTGTTTGCCTTCGCAATTGCGATCTTCTTGTACATATTGGTAAGTGCAAAAAAACCAATTTGTCAAACATTTCGGTCAATCACCAACAATATTTGAGAATTTGTAGATCGTTTCCATCGAATGTCACAAAGTTCAACATCATCGAGAAAGCCGAGGAAGCGTGTCAAAGTCCCACACTCGAACCCGCGGAATAATTCCCAGCAGAATAACTCGGTACCGAGGACATCGGAATACCACACCTTACAAGTACCATCGATTTTGGTACCCCGGCAGCTCCACTCAAACCCAAAACGGACGGCATTTGAACAAATGGTACCCGAGCAGGTGGTACGGGAACCCAAATTACCAGGCTACTTACGTGCGGGGTTCTTCTGGGCCATCGGGGAACAACGTGTATCATTATTATTACTATCGGCACTCGACTCCGAAAACGCATTCGAATAAATATGGATTTCCTGGATCGACTTCTGGAGGTTACGGATTCAAACCTATAACTGGGAATTACATCGAAGAACAGGCTGTTCTCGATGAAAAGGAAAATCAAAAGGATTTACTTACGATTCCGAATGAAAATCCGGATGTCACTCAATCAGAAGAACAGTCGACCTACAAGCAATCGACTTCAACTACCACCGAAAAAACAGTTCCCGACCCAGAGAAAAATGATTCGAAAATTATGGAGGAAGAACCTGAGGATTCAGCAGCTGATGACGAAAAATCAACGGAAGAAGAAGAGGAAAAAGAAGCAGAAGAAGAAAAAGAGGAAAAAAACGAAGAAGGCGAAGAAGAAGACGATGAAGAAGCGGACGAAGAACAAGAAGGACTTACGGAAGAACAAAAATTGGCAACGGAAATGACAATTTCGCAAAATACTGCAACAGAAATCCCAGACTATTTTTCTGATGACGTAGTAATTTCTACCTGGACACCTCCATCACCTACAACAATAACTGAAACCACAAAAACGTCAGAAACAGCAACGAATGTCGACAATTTCTCAACTGATGATGATGATGATGATGATGATCAATCATCCAATACAAGTACAACAGAAACCAGCATCGATTCAACAACAGAAAAAAACAAGACACGTCCACTAGTCATTCTTACAACTGACGAGCTTTCACCTGCTTCTGACGATGGAAACCCATCAGAAAACATAGATTATTTCGATGGTCCAGAAAGAGCAGAAAATCTGAACAAATCTGAATCGGCAACAACATCCATTGAATCTTTAGTTAATAACGTTTCAAATAACGAAGACTTTGACTATTCTGACAGTTTCAGTGACGATGAGAAAGCACCAGCTTCCAGCAATGTAAAAACCAAAAAGCCAACCCCTAGATCGAAATCTGCGCCAAAAGGTCGACAATTGGCAGTTGAACAGTCATTTAGGACTCAGAAATCATCTTCTGACGATGGCCTCGGGCTCATGCCAGTTTATTCGCCTGAGAATAATGGGAATAGAAAAGACGATAGACGCAGAATCCGTAGATCTATTAGCCCACAAAATGTAGAACGAATCGCGAATTTGGCGGAAGTCTCAATAGCGAGATCAGCAGCGCAGGACGCGGACTTGGGAATCAATTTTGACTTTGTACAAGGAAATGAATCCAACAACACAAATATGCAGAAAAACGACAGTGCTTCCATCAATGGATCTTCGTTGAATGGTATATATTTTTAAAACAATTATAATGCAGTACTTCTACGCATGTATATTTTTCGAGGCATTTATTTAAAGCATTTTCAGTTTACTGTCATCTGCCGAATTATTTTTCCACATTTCAGAGAATTGCGAGTTTGCGAATAAACAGAGTGTGGACGATAAAACCAAAAACGAAAAAACATCCCAGAATGAGTGTCCATTTCATGTGAACACTTCCAGCTCAAATTTTGAAATTATTTTAAAATTCAAGTTCATTTAGTCTTTCGACAAGTGAATGATCGATCTTATATACGGCCACTATTTTGGAAGACTACTGTATACATTCATTTTTGAACTTCGTTAATTATGGTCAGAATTAATTGAGTCGAACGACAATAAAGAGCTCATATCACAAAAGTTGGAGAATCTTTTGACCAACAAAAATTCTTCCTGTGTGTCTTGTTTAAATAGATGAGGTTTATTTACATAAATAAAAATTTTTTAAACTACAAATCCGTCGCTGAAAAAACTATGCGTTTTTTGCAGCACTTGAGCGAACTCACCAGCAAAAAGAAAAGCTGGCGAGAAAAAATCTTCAAGTTGTTTTTGAAAATAGTTTAAAACATGCTGGTCATCCTAATTGTCGAACCAATTATTGAAAACTCGTTTCAAGTAAAATATCTGAACGCCTGGAATTCTAGTGTATATTATAAGAATAACATTCTCAAGATGATAAAGCATTACTTTCCAAGGGCGTTAATTTCAAAATGAAAATTACTGAACCATCATATATACTCGTCATGACAACCATAAATTGCAAATTTGAAAGATAATTGAATCAGCATTATGCATAAGTAAAATTGTTTCTCAAGGATGCAGTTGTAATCTTCCAGAAAGGGTTATTAGGGTTGAAATACCCGCTAATTTATTTTGCGTACACCCGTTATCACGCTTCAATTGAAATACTGTAGTACCTGCAGCCTTAATTATAGAATGATACCTCGGCAGCTCTTCTGATATCAACCTCATCATTTAAATTTTGTATCCCGAACTTGACTAAATCGCTGAGGTTTCACTCAAGAATAATAACGTCCTCCTAACACATACATTTTGTTTTCAACAGAAACAGATTTGAGCGTCGGAGATGCCAAAATCAATGAGGCTTCGAATAATTCGTCATCAGAAACGGGACAATGGAGTTCGGAAGGGTCATTCACGTTGAACAGTTCAATGAATGTTTCTTCAGCGTCAGAAAAGGACAATTCAACAACCCTTGGAACCAACTCCACAAAAACTGCAGGGGAAAATGCCACGAAGAATATTTCTTCTGCTGCGAGCAGCAATTTAACAGTCGAAGTAGCTCCGGTGGAGATGAGTAATGCTTCGAAGACTAATAATTTTACAGCTGGCAATCTTACAGCGAACACTGCAGCTGCTGGGAATGGTTCAACTCAAGGTTTTATGAATGGAACTTCAAATGATGTCAATAACACGCTTGTAAACTCCACTTCCCCACCAAAAAACTCCAGTTCAACGACAAACAACGTCACTTCAACGACCGAAACCTCTACGAGTGTCTTTTCAACTACTGAAAGTGCGTCACCTAGTGACAAAAACATGACAAATGCAACGCTCTCAACCGCAATAGTCGTGCTAGATGTCACTGACATCACTCCATCCACATCGCCGGTCGATCTCGGTGCTCTGAACGAGACGTTCATGGAAGACAGCACCACACGGTTGACTTCAAGCAACACAGAATCATCGGGAACTGAAGAAGTCACATTCAACATCACCGAATTCCTGTATCCGCTTCCAGAAGAAAGCACGACTGTGAGTTCCATACAATTTATGTTGACGACGGAGAAGAGAAATAATTCTGAAGATGTCGAAGATTTGTCTGATGGAAATCTGGACGATCTTATGGGGAATGAATTTGAAATTGAATCTTTGAAAGAGGATGACGACGAATCGGCAAATGAGAGGTGAATTCATGCTGATGGAAGTATTGTATATCTACTTGAGTTTGAATTGAACACATGTCTATGAATTATGAAGCTTCACCATCCTTTTAAGGACCTTGAAAATATACGAAAATTTCTTTTTTAGCGAAGCTTAATTTGACAAGGCTTCTTCTGAAGTGCGTGAAAAATCGATGAAACACCTGAAAACACTTTTGTATACCAAATTTGCACCTATATCCCTGCATAGATGGGAGTTAGTTCAAGTACTTGTACGAGGATTTGAAAATATTGTAAATGAAATTTGCTACATTACGCTATACTGAAAGCTTGAGGGAAAATTTCAACGCATGTCTAAAAATTAAAAAGGTTTTGTCGGTACACTGAAACTTCGAATTGAGTTCTTTGGGTAATTATGTTGTCGGACCTTTTTTTTCAGAATTAGTCAAAGTAAATGACAATTATATCTGATATGAATAAAAATACAGTATACCCCGAAAAGCTTCGATGAAACAAGTGCATTTTCAAACGCGGCGATAAGCAATTTTTAATCATTCAATTTTTAATAAAAGTGTTTTATTAATCTACGTGTGCATTTAAGAAACAATCACAAGGCATTTCGCCAAAATAAGTGCACAGTTTCTACAATGAAGTCTCTTACTTTTGAACCCTCATTTTTTTTTATCTACATCGAGTCTGTGAGTGTGTGTGAGTGAGCATTTAAAAAATGAAATGTGCATGGGTTTTTTGCAATCATCCAGTTCGTCATCTGAGACGATAGAAAGCAACGAATTCGTCTACCCGTCGACTTTCCTCTGCCCGCCGTTCGATTACGACTGCAAACCCGGAGTGAACAAGAAACCCCCGAAGAACTCGGACCGAGACGACGACACTGAAGAAGACCGAACAATTTTCCATACTCATATGTACGCTTCCGTAGAAATCGAACACGGATCAGTGCTTGGAGTTCAAGAATCATCGGCGGATGGGAATTCGGGAAATTCCAGGAACTTCGTTTTTCTGGGAATCCCGTACGCCTTGCCTCCCGTCGGTGACTTGCGATTCAAGGTGGGTTCGAAAAAATCGTATAACACTGTCCGGATTTGATGCAGTATTTGAAGTCCTTTTACTTGAATCCGAATACTGTACTGTACTCATTTTTTATCTCTTCATTTTTTTCAAAAACAAAAAATAATACGGCATTAGATTTCTTATAAGATGCGAACCTTGGCCGGAATATATTTAGTGTCGATAATTAAAAATCACTCAATTTCGGATTTGCAAGTTTCAGAAGCGTCATATAAAAAATAAAAATAAAATAAAAGACATTATTGACTTTCAATTATATTACTGTAATAATCTGAAAAAAAAGCTCAAATTAGATTTTGTCACGAATTTCTCATTTTATATGAAACATTTTCTAAGAAAAAGTCGCACCGAAAATTCCGTGGACCCATCAATATTATCTAAATGTCGAAATATTACGCAATTTTTCTATTCTGCAAAACGATGAACTTTTGAAGATTCTTTCATATATGCAGTTTTTCTGACGCTAATGGGAACACAATTTATATTTAATGAATATACATTTCTATACTACTCTTCTGCTGCAAGAAATGTGTTTTTTGTTGGAAAACTTTTTAAATGTGCTGAATATTTTTATTTGCATGTAAAAAAAAAATCTGTAGCATAAAGGAATTAATCTCTTCATTCAGAAAAAATTATAGGAATATTTTAGTTCATATACGAACCATGACGAGTCAATTGTGAATGCATCCGATCCCTAGAATTTCTCTGCAAATATTTTTTAAATCTAGTTCATTATAAAATATATAGTGCTGCCTTTATAATTTGACAGGCAAATGCATACATCTTACTTGAAAATAAGCAGGTCAATTTTCAGCCTCTCAATGATGAATTTAAATTTGTTTGCGATTGACAGATGACGAGGTATTCAAAAGGTCGGGTGATTAACAATCAGCTGTATATTTGCGTTCATTTATAGAAAGTTTTAAAATTTTTATTTTCGTTTTTTATATATAGCCTCCAGTGCCACAACCAGGTTGGACTGGAACATGGAATGCAACTGCAAGTCGTCCGAAATGTCTTCAGTATGATTCTATTGTCGAACTAGATGTTGTCGGCCAGGAAGACTGCTTATATCTCAACGTTTACACGCCGAAAGTAAGTTTATCCGAAGAAACAAATATATGAATTTAAGGATAGAAAATAAAATGATTAAATTCCAGTTGAAACCCGCATCAGCAGTTCTGAAGGAAAACAAAGGACACCGGAAAATAACGATTAAGTTGCAAGATTCGCTCTCCAACTAATGTACATCGCTGAATTGCGTTTTCAAATTTAAAAAAGAGTATATCACCGTTGAATAAAATTGATTCAAAATCAAACATTGACTATCTGCAATTTCAGCAACTGCTTAAAATTCCTTTGTCAAAATCTTCCCAAAATGCAAGAACCAAGAGAAACAGCTTAGATACTCTGAAGAATTTTTGATTATTTGAAAATCTGCTGTTGAAACCCCGACTGATCAATCTCGGAAAATGCTTTAATACACTCATCCAAAGATGTTTAAAAGACGCTGTCCTGACTCTGCAAAAATGAGACTAATCAAGGGATTCCCTCGCAGAACACTTCCCAAATGTATACAATTTTTTTTCAATTTTGAAACACGAGGATCAGGAGCTATTTTTTTTACACATAGTTACCGTCATCGCCTGAGGATGCGAAGCTGCCAGTCCTCGTGTACGTCAATGGAGTCTTTTTCTCTTCCGGTTCCGGTAATGAAGATCAGGTGTATCCGGCATCATTCCTCCAACACGATGTGATCGTGGTTACTGTCAATTACCGTCTTGGAGTTTTCGGTGAGAAAATTTGCTACATATCCCACAAAATGCCCTAAAGATTTATTTTCTTTCAAAGAAATTCTCCACGCAGGATAAGCGATCATTGATGAAATCTCATCAAAACAGGAAATTGCAAATCCGGTGTTTGAGCGTTTCGAAAATATATTACGAAGTGAAATTTTTTTTAAACTTTATTCGATCTCGTCGCTCTCCATTTCCTTTATTCAAGTCTACCAAACAACACGAATGAAAATGAATAGAATCACAGCGTATTAATAAAATCACAAATATCAATGACGGAGTCTTCTTCGATCGCTCGAATGTACTTTCCTGACTGCTGAACGAAGAACTTCTAGAAACTGCTGGATGGATTCCAAAATCTTTTTTTTTCATGCTGTATCACTATAAAGTATTCGTGAACTTCTTGATTATTCACGTCGTGTCACGTTCAAGGACGCGGAGCGAAATAATATTCGATTGTCAAAAAAGAACTTTTTTTCCAAGTTTTATAAATTATCATTTTGAAAAAAAAAACCAGGATTCCTGTCGACTGAAGATGAGGCAGCACCCGGAAATTACGGATTGCTAGACATCGCCGAGGCCTTGAAATGGGTGCACACCAACATAGTTTTCTTTGGAGGAGACGTGGGCTCTGTGACTTTGGGCGGTTACGGCTCTGGGGCCTCTGCTGCGCATCTCCTGGCTTTCTCGCCTGCTGCCAGAGGTGATCCAGAATCCTTACTCTTTATTACTATTATTATTCAATAATCAATACTTTTATTACTAGGGATTTACTTTAGCTGATTCATACTTTAAATGAGGTTTTGTGTAGAACATTAAAAAAATATTATACTGGAGTTGCTCCCCAAAAATAATTCTCAATAATGAAAGGAGTATGATGGCATGGTGTTAATTATTAGAGTTGAGCCTCATCTGTTTGTTGAACACTGAGGGACCTACAAAATTTGACTCAAGGAGTTTTTTGAGTTTAGGAAATATAACCAGGATTTTTGCTGCTGAAAAAATGAAGCATTAAAGCAAATTTAAATTTTTGATCTTAAGGGCTTGGAACTGCTGGCTGAATGAGTTGACAGGATGCTGAACTATACAAGACAAGCATTATTCATTTGCCAAATTATAGTTGCTCGCTTCCTTTTGAAAAGCATCAAATTACATTTTTATTGCTTTTCCCTTTCCTGAGTCCCAAGAATAATAGCCCAAAGACATCAGAAAATTGAAAGGTTTCAGGAGGAAGGTTTTCAAGTCAGGGAGGTCATTGAGGTCAATGAAACATTTTTTCAAGAGGGATTCAGATAGGGGCTGAAAAAAATGACTTTGGGAAATTTTTTACCTATTTATATATGTGGAGGTTTGAATTATCCCTGTCCAACAACACTGTGGTACATATTAGTCACTATGAAGAGATTTTTGCAATAAACAATTTTCTTTTTCATGGACAAAGAGCATCAATTGTTCCTGAAAATTATTTCATTACACAGCATAACGTAGGTTTGAAATTGAGCTTCCTTTATTTTGAATTTTCTTGACAATCATTTGCATAGAGATGCTTTTTTTGTTCTGTCAGATGATGTATTAGTATATAGGAACTTGATTTTAAATAAGAAAATGTAATTCAACCATTTGCTGCAATATCTGTCATGGATCCAATGGATCCTGGACAAAGAAATTGAATTGTGCAGCCATCAGAATGCAAGTTTTGAATAAGAACTCCAACTCTTTTCAGAGGAGTTCATTCTCATTGCCCAATTCATCAATTGGCTGTTAATTGAATGGTTGTAATGGCAAAGTCAATTGTAAGATTGGTTCGTTAGCTCAGAAAAATGAATGAGGTAATTAAAGTTAAAAGGCCCTTTAACAATAGGGTCTGACTTCTCCTCTGGAAGAGGAATGAAGGTTTTTATACCCAGGTGCTTGGACTGGGTCAGGAAGAAATCAGGTGATTTCTTCCTGACTCATGATTGGCCAATTTTAGGAAAATTGAAGATGTGATGACCACGTCTTGTCCTTGAGTGAGGCTCAATGAGTCTTGCAAAAACAGGATTTTTGCAAGGCTCACTGGCCTTAGAAATGCAACAAGTTTTCTCGTCCAGTTGCAGCCGGATGCTGGAGCTGCGTTGCTTCCGTACGCGACAATATCCGAAGTACTGTGCAGTAATTAGTTTATCGTGATTCACACGGACGTGTCATAATATACGTATGTATTTTTTATTATCCTTTAGAATTATTCTCCGGCATGATTTTACAAGCTGGATCAGCATTATCAACAGGATCTCTGACCACTGGTCACAGAAAAGTTGCAAAAACTTTGGCAGCACATTTGGGCTGTTCCATTGAGAACAGCAATGCTACCTTGCAGTGTTTAAGACGCCGGTCAGCGACATCTTTGATCAATGAGGCTATAAATATGACCGTGAGTTACAGTATTTTAAATTTCCATCAAGCGTCTGAAAAATTCAACGGGATTTCCTTCCCCTATATTTCCAGCAACCTTTCACTCATCTTTTTGCGCCAAGGATAGACAAGGAATGTGACTCGCCTATAGTGAGAGAAGATCCGTTGGAATTGCTGCAGAAAGGAGAATTCTGCAGAGTCCCATTGCTGATTGGGTTCCCGAAGGACGTCGGACTGATTCATACCTACGGTTCGATCATCGAAATTATCAGCAAAGAAATACGTGAAAAATATCAAATCAAAATTGAATAACCGCGTATTTATTTCTTGATCCCAGAAATTCTCTCGAGGCCGAACTTGTACCTGAACGTCTTGGACACAAACTGGACGAAAGTTTGTCCAGTTTCGCTTCAGCTTCAAGGCACTAGTTGTGACTGTGACAGAGCAGCTCTTTGCAGAGTGATTCGCAAAGAGTATTTCGGTCAAAGACCGATTGATTTGTCATCCGCTTACGACTTGACGAATGTGAGTTGACTTCAAATAATACGCAACCACTTCCCAGCATTCATTTCGAATTTTTTTTTTAAATGATTGCATTTAATTTATGCATTCCAGTTGATGGGAGACAGGTGGTTCAAACAGGGCATAACTCAGTCAGCTGCGAAGCATTCCAAGTTTGCTGACACCTACTTCTACGTGTACAATTACGAGCCGAAATACAGTTTCAGGAATGTCCTGTTTTCGGGGCCACGCAAAACTATTTTCAACATTTCCGCGGACTTCACTGATGGTTTGTAAACTCCGACCGTCTATAAATTTACTTCACAAAGTGTTCTGAAACTCCCCTCACGAAATCGTGGAATTTTCAAAATTTTGTCGAGATTTTAAAAAGCGTATTTTGTTCCTAACCAAATAAAAAAGAAAGTAGAAGATTTTCGCAGTGAAATACTTAATATAACCACATCGCAATCAGCCAGTTTGTGGCCAAGAACCTGCATTTAAGTGGGCACCTTAAATTGAAATTTATACTTTTGTCAACGAATTTATTCCCGCGGTTTCATAAATAGACCATTCCGAAGTAATTCACAATTCAAAATATTTCAAAAGGAAGCTTCACGAACGGATAGAACAAGACTGAAATATATGCGAAATAATTTTTGCACACAAATTCGATGCAATGTAAAAAAAGTTCGTTCTTCTCTGAGAAGAATGATGCTGTTTTATAAAAGAAAATGTCTAGTTTTTATTATTTTTCGTATGATCTGCCCAAATATTTCAAGAGATTTCTTCATCCACCTGAAATTGGGAAGGTGACAGAAATCAAGAAAGAATCATGTGTGGAGAGAAAACAGTGCATGGTTTCAAGGGTCTCTTATTGTTTCACGGTGCTTCCCTCAAATTTATTTCGAATTTTTAAAACATGAAACGATGGCTTCCTGGATTTCAGGCGTGTTTTACGGAGATGATTTGCTGGCAGCTTTCCCCAGTAAAGGTGTCACTGATCGGAAGCGAATGGACGACGAAATTTCTCGATTCATGGTGCAACTCTGGGTCAACTTCCTGAAGCACAGGTAAATCCAGTTTTCTAAGAAGAAACCATTATACAGTGAGACCCCTACATGTGGACACATTGCCCTGCTGACAATTCAACATAGGGACACTTATTTTCACAAAAAATAATAAAAAAGGCCCAACACGAGGACACTGACTCAACATATAGGGACATTTTATGATAAAATTGCAAATAAAGTTCCGGCCAAATTACGAGAAACAGATATTTCCAACCCTAGAATTCATGTAAGAAAAGTTCTTGGGCATTTCTCTCACCAATTTACCAACCATTTAGCTGATTAAAAAAAATACTTGCAGCATAGAGGGACTTCCTTCACTCTTTTTCACTTTAATGTTATTTTTACAGAGAATGCCAACATTTCTTTGTACTGTACAGAGGTATCAGTATTCAATTCCCCAAATGTCCATATTCTGTTGAAATATATTGATTGAATCAGTTTAAATTTGGAGAACATTTTTATTTGCATGGAATTACGCTGAGTATTTTGTACATAAAACATCAATTAAAAATTTTATAATGTAAGTCTGAGTGAAAATGAGACTTCACTTAGGGGCATTTTGACTTGGGGACACTCTTGATGCACCAATCACGTCCGCATCTTTGGGGTCTCACTTCTCAAATTCTGTAGCTATTGAAATTTAGAATTCAATCCAACAGGAAACCGATCCGAGAAAACAGGGAGAGCATTATTTCGTGGCCCAAGTTTACTGAAGAAAATGAACGATACTTCGTCATCGACAATCCACCAAAGCAGAGAACGAATCCGGTGAATCCCGAAGTCACTAAATTTTGGGAATTTGTTTCCTACATTTCCGGGGCAGTGTGAAGAAAAATGTGGGAATTTCATCATCTGCATTCGGAAAAGACAAAGCAGATGATTCGCGACGTGTTTTCCCCGGTTTTTACAAAAAAGAAATCAACACTGCCACTCGGTTTCCTGTTATCTTTTTTTTTATAAATATTTATTGTGCGTATTGCACTCGAGCATCCGATTTTCACGAAATGAGGCATGCTCACGAAACACATCGACGTTGTGGTTATTTCTAAGGAAAAAATAAAAAATAAAATATGGATTTTTGATTCGTGGACAGTTTCAGGTTGTCTATAAATAATTGCCTACAATTTTCTTAATACAGGAGAGAGAAAAGCAATAAGAAAGTTACTTCATGCGTTTTGAAAGGAAGTGAGAGATTATTTGGGCAAATGAACCCCTGCCTCATCCAAGTTCAGCATCCTGTTATAATTCCATTCAAAAAGCAATTTCAGGCCCAGAATATCACCATTTACAATTTTATTCAATTCCTCTGCATTTCATGCAACAAAAAAAGCTTGTTTCCGTATATAACTCAGAACCTCTGCATTTTGTTTTGCTGGTGCCTTGACATTCGACTTTGAGAGGTGTGACTGTACAGTATAGTTACTCATCTGCTGCTATATATGGTGAGCAGAAAAAAATAATCCGAGTTCCTCACCACCATCATCAGGGCTGCATGTGTGAGTCCTGATGGTGGTTCAGGGAAGATAAATGATTCATAATATATGTTATCCAAAAACTATTTTACGAAAGTTGTTGGTCAACGATGATCAGTCGTTGATGACTCTTTCTAATAATTGATGGAAAAGGGGATCGGAGATTTAAATCGTTTTCCGCGACTTTCGAAGGAAACGCAAAAGTTACTCCGTGAGAGTGTTCAAAAGGTTT